TTTTCTTCTCTTCAGTATTTTTCCAATGCGAGTCGACAGCTGACAAATTGTCTTTCAGTTTCATTTGTCTAGAAGTGTCTTTATTTTGTCCCTTTTTTTTTTTTGTAGGATATTTATGCTGGATGTCAAATTTCAGAGTTGGCACTTCTTTTTTTCTTCACCTTAGGTCTCCAGTATTACAAAAATATTAGACCTTTTCACCATGTCCCTTGTGATTTTCATGTGATATTCTATATTGTTTCATCCTTTTCTCTCTGACCTTCAGTATGAATATCTTTTTCTGACCTTTCACTAGACTTCTCTTGTGGTGTCTAATCTCTTAAAGTCATCCATTGAGTTCTTAACTTTAATTATTGAAATGATTAGTTCTAGGATTTCTTTTTAGAAGTTTTGTTTCAAAATTCTCTACCTTGTTACATTGAATATATATATTTTTTAAAGATTTTATTTATTTGAGAGAGAGAGACAGAGATAGTGAGAGAGCACAAGTGGGGAGGAGAGGGAGAAGCAGGCTCCCCACAGAGCAGGGAGCCTGATGCGGGCTCGATCCCAGGACCCTGGGACCATGACCTGAGCCGAAGGCAGACGCTTAACCGACTGAGCCACCCAGGCGCCCAAGTTTTATTTATTTAAGTAATGGCTACATCTAATATAAGGTTCGAACTCAGGACTCCAAGGTCAAGAGCCAGACCATCTTTCAACTGAGCCAGCCAGGTGACGCTATATCCCAGTTCTTAAAATTTTATTTTAAGTCCTCTCTGGCTTAGTTGGAAAAAGACTTTGAGTTACTTTTTCAGTAGGAGTTTGTGGGTAATATGTTATTGCTTGTTTGAGAATGTCTTACTCTTGCAAATTCATGACAATTTGACATAAAATTTTAAGTCCTAACTTCTTTTCTCAAAATTGTGTAGACATTGCTCCATTGTTTTCTGGCATTCAGTGTTATAGAAAAATGTGAGACCAGTCTTATTTTTCTTTGTGGGTAAACTATGATTTTCCTAGATGTTTATGGGCAGATTTCTGTATGTTTTCTTAAAACTTAAACTTTTTACAAAGATATGTCTAGGATGATATTCCATTTTCATTAATTTTTGTGTCTTGTCCTGCCATTGAATTTCCAGAGTCAGCTGCTGCTTCAGCTCAGAAAAGTTACATTCTATTATTTCTTTGGTTTGTATCTTCTCCAATTTTTTGCTTTTCTGGGAATTATTTTGTGAGTTGATTGAATTTCTTAGATTTATATGCCATGTCTTTTTTTTAAGATTTTATTTATTTATTTGACAGAGACACAGTGAGAGAGGGAACACAAGCAGAGGGAGGGGCAGAGGGAGAAGCAGGCTTCCTGCCGAGCAGGGAGCCCGATGCGAGGCTCGATCTCAGGACCCTGGGATCATGACCTGAGCCGAAGGCAGATGCTTAATGACTGAGCCACCCAGGCGCCCCTATATGCCATGTCTTAAGATTTAAAAAAAAAATAATTTAGCTGTCTTGTTTTTGTCAGAATAAGACCAATACTTAGAAAAGAGTTCCCAATTAAATTCTCTCAAATTTAGTATAGATAATAGTTGCAATGGTTTTCTTCCACAATTCATTTGCATTAAAACAAAAGTTCAAAGAAGTTTCAAAAATGGGGACACCTGGGTGGCTCAGTCAGCTAAGCGTCTGCTCAGGTCATGATCCCGGGGTTCTGGGATCGAGCCCTGCATCAGGTTCCCTGCTCAGTGGGGAGCTTGCTTCTCCCTCTGCCTCTGCTCCCCTGCTTGTGCTCCCTCTCAAATAAATAAAATCTTTAAGAAAAAAGTTTCAAAAACATGAAACTCTTTATTTTCTAAGTGGGACAAATGTTTCCCTTGAAATATCCTCATTTTCTTAGAAAACCTCTTTTTAATTGTATAAGGAAAAAAAATTTCAGTCTACTCTTAATAAGAACTATCACAAATCTCAATGAGTGGACTCCGAATTAAGTGTTATTTTAGATTCTTTATACGTTCATATGTTTGCACTTAATGCATATTTTTACTATTTATGATAGTTCTCTCAGTGAAATAGAAGATTCCCTCCCTCCTGGAAAAGCAGTATTTTATACATGGGCTGATCCAGTGGGCTCTAGAAAGCTGAAGTGGAGATGTGGAAAAAGCCATGGTGAAGTAACACAAAAGGATGTACGTATGGGGTTGAGTATTACTGTTCTAAACATCTTTTTTTTTTTAAAGATATTCTCTTCCGGCTTTGCTATTTATAAGGCCTGCTTTGTGTCTGTACTTTTAAACAACTGCCAAAGATTTTTTCTTTTTTTAAGTTTCAGGAGTAGAATTGAGTGATTCATCACTTACATGTAACACCCAGGGTTCATCATTACCAGTGCCCTCCTTAATCCCCATCACCCATCTAACCCATCCCCCTCCAGCAGCCCTCAGTTTGTTCTCTAAAGTCTGTTTTATGGTTTGCCTCTTTTTTCCCCCTTCATTTGTTTTGTTTCTTTAATTCCACATATGAATGAAATCACATGGTATTTGTCTTTCTCTGACTTACTTCGCTAAGCATAATATAGTCTCTAAGCAGCAGAAAGAGAAATCAAGGAATTGGTTCGCATTTATAATTGCATCAAACACCGTAAGATACGTAGGAATAAACCTAACCAGAGAGGTAAAAGATCTGTATATCTTATCAAAAAAAGTGAAGATGACACAAAGAAATAGTAAAACATTCCATACTCATGGATTAGAACCAAATATTGTTTAAAAAAAAAAAATGCCGAAGATTTTAAAAGCAGTATTCAAATTTTAACCAAAACATTTAAAACCAGAAGAGGTCCTGTATGGCTACATCATTATTTGCTGCTGTTACGTTATAAAAGGTACACTAGGCTTAGGTAAGGTGCTTTCAGCATTTGTCTCATAAACAGTATTGCACTGACAGTCATTTTAGGTCAATGTGGCTTCTGTGAGGATCATTTTAGGGACCCACTAAGGAATTTATTTTTGAGTGGTTTATTATAATGATAAAGTTATGTATAAACATTTTCCAGTAACATTTTGAATGACTTTGAGAAATTCTTATTAAAATGTTATTAGTCAGGATGCCCAGTGGCTCATTCAGTTAAGTGTCTGCCTTCGGCTCAGGTCATGATCCCGGGGTCCTGGGATTGAGCCCGACGTGGGGCTCCCTGCTCAGCGGGAAGTCTGCTTCTCTCTCTCCCTCTGCCTGCAGCTCCCCCTGCTTGTGCATGCATGCACGCTCTCTCTCTCTCTCTTTCTCTCTCCCCCTCTGTCAAATAAAATCTTTAAAAAAAAAAATTCTTGAGATAGATACTGTGTTAGTCTGGTTGGGCTGCCATGACAGAATACCTTAGTCTGGGTGGCTTAAACCACACAAATTTATTTCTCAGAGTTTGAGAGCTGGAAGCCCAAGATCAAAGTGCCAGCATGGTCAGGTTCTGGTGAACCTGATGAGGACTCTTCTTGACTTGCAGTTGACCACCCTCTCACTCTGTCCTCACATGGTGGAGAGAGAAGGAGTGAACTCTCTGGTATCTCTTAGCAGGATACTAATCCTGTTGGATCAGAGCCCTAACCCCTCCTTTATGATGTCATTTAACCTTAACTACCTCCGTAAAGGCCCTGTGTCCAAAAGAGTCACATTGGAGGTTGGGACTTGAACATAAGACTTTGGGGGAGTGAGGGGACACAATCGAGTTAATAGCAGATACTGAGATCAGTGGTTTTCAGATTTTCCTTTTATATGAAGTCACTTAAAGGCACAAATTTCCCTCCAAAAAACGGCATTAGTTTTATCTCACAAATTTTGATGTACTTTATATTTATTATCCTTTAGTTCAAAATATTTTCTAAGTTTCATTTTTATTTATTTTTATATCCATA